GCATATGCAAATATAGTCAGTCAATAAGTATTTATTAAATACCTATTATATGCTAGGCACTGTGCTAAATGCTGGCCATAAAAGGAGGCAAAAGGCAATCCCCTGCCTTCCAAAAGCTCACCGTTTAACAGGGGAGACAATATTCAAGCAAATCTGAACAAACTATATTCAGGATAAATAGGAAATAATGAACAGAGGGAAGGCTCTAGAATTAAGAGCGGTTAGGGAAGGCTTCCTGTAGAAGATGGGATTTTAATTGGGACCTAAAGAAATCCAGAGAAGCCAGAGGGCCAAGATGAGGGGGGAGAGCATTCCAAGCATGGAGGACAGTAAAAGAAATGCCCAGAGCCAGGAGATGGGGTGCCTTGTGGGAGGAACAGCACAGATCCAAGGTGAGGTGTCACGTGTAAGAAGACTGAAAAGGTAGGAAGGGGCTAAGTTGTGAAGGGCTGTGAACACCAAACAACGGATTTCATATTTGATCCTGGGAGTGATAGAGAGCCCCTGGAGTTTATTGAGTTGAGGGGAGATGATGTGCTGAGACCTGCGCTTTAGGAAAATCACTTTGGTGGCTGAAATGGGCAGAGACTTGAGGCAGGCAGCCCCAGCAGCAGGCTACTGCAGTAATCAAGGCGTGATGTGATGAGGGCCTGCATTATAGCGACAGCAGTGTCAGAGAAGAGAAGGGGGAATATTGCAAAGGGGAAATCGACAAGCTTCACCAACAGCTTGGATACAAGAGATGGGAGATGGTGAGGAATCCAGGGCTGGAAGCCCGAGGGACCGGGAGGATGTTGTCCTCTATAGTTACAGCGAAATTAGGAGGTGGGGAGGGACCAGGGGGAAAGATGACGAGTTAGGTTCTAGACATACTGAGTTTCAGATTTAAAGCCCTATTCTATTTGGTGTCTAAGTAAAAATATTTTTTTTAACAATACTTGGATTCCAAAAGCTGGATTTTTCGGATGGGCTGTAATCCTACCTCCTTCTAGCTCCTAGGTTGTCTCTCTTCTCCCTTTTCGGAGGTCCATTATAATAAGGACCCCTTTGTCTCGTGTTGGCATTACCGTTTTAGGGTACTGTCATTCATCCAACAAACATTGTTTGCACCTACAATCTCCTAAGTTTCCTCTACAGACCTCCTTTAGTGCTCACTCTGTTCTCACAGTGTGGAGGACTCAGACTGCGCAAGTTCTGATAGGTTCTACAGAACTGGGAAGACTTTTAGTTTAAGCCAGTGGTGAGTTTTTTGGTCAGTCTGTGAATCAGCCTAACAGTTATCAACAGAAAGTTGACTAGCCAAGGAGATGACCCACTTTTGTGGCCACAGAAGCTTAGGAAGATCACCTTCCAAGGCTTGGAATCAGGTGGGTGGTGTACCCTCACTGACTTTTCACCACAACCTTATGGAGTAGTGTTTCCCAATGAGTTTTTCTGTAGTAATCTGTCAAAGGATAATCAATTAATGGGGCAGCTAGGTGGTGAAGTAGACAGAGCACTGAGCTTAGAATCAGGAAGACCAGCCTCAGATATTAGCTGTGTGACCATTTAACCCTGTTTGCCTCAGTTTCCTCATCTGTAAAATGGAGAAGGAAATGGCAAACAACTCCAGTATCTTTACCAAGAAAACCCCAAATGGGTTCACCAAGAGTCAGACATGACCGAAACAACTCACCAACAAAATCAAGCAAGCTAGAAAGCATTGAACGCTCTATCTACCTTATGAGGACACAAAGAAAAAAGGGACACAATCCATGTCCTCATGGAGCTTATGGGTAGACAACATATACCTACACAATATACACAAAACATATGTAAAGCAGATAAAAAGTAACCTTGGGAGAAAATGCACTGGCCGTCAAGGGCGCCAGGAAAGGCCTCATGAAGGTCTTGAGCTGAGTCTTGAAGGAAACTTATGATTCCAAGAGGCAGAAGGAGACCAGTAGGGAGAGCATTTCATTAAATGCTGGGAAATAGAATCTGGATTCACTGAAACTTGGTGGAGGACTCTTCTACTGTGCCTAGGAAGCTGTCAGCACTTGGGTGGGTGGGAACAAATCTAAACTAAATCTAATCCCTTCCGTTCTTTAGATTTGGGATAATCAGGCCTGAGGGATTGGGGGTGGGGGGGGGAAGAGAGAAAAAGACAGGGGTTAAGGCAAAAGTACCAGACACTGTCTCCTCCCCCTCTCTCAAATAGACAGACTTCTTAAGGGGACGTCTTCAAAGTCATTGTCTAGCTGTCTTCTGCCCTAAAGGGGCTGATTCTTTAATGTGAAAGTCAATCCTTACATAGCAGATTGACTATGGGATCCTAAATCTAGGGCTGGAAAGTTCCTCTAGTTCAGTTGTGTCAAACTCAGAAATAGCTGGGACTAATATTGATTTAGAAAATCACAAATGAACATTACCTATGTTGTATTGTATTTTTACTTAATTTGTTAAACATTTCTCAATTATATTAGTCTGGATCCAGCTATACCCCAGAATTTTAGGGGCTGAGTTAGATACTTCTGTTCTCATCAAGTCCCCTAATTGTACAGTTGAGGAAACTGGGGCCGGGGGCCAGTGTCTTACCCAATGTAACCCAAGTAGCAGAGAGAGGATTTCAACTCTAGTCTTCTGGCCCCAAATCCAGCTTTCTTTTTACTGTACCACAATGCCTGTTTTGATCTTTTATTTTTTTTTATTTAAAAAAAATCTTTTATTTACTAACAAATACCAAAAAGAGAAAAAATGTCTATACGCAAAGTAGAACAGAAAAAGCATATGTATAAATGTTGATCTCTATTACATACAACTTGCTTTTGAAAATCATTTATAATAAATGCAGTTGTACTTTTTCACTAGCTTGTCTGTTTCCTTCCAGACTTCCTTCCATTCTATATATTTTAAAAAATATTTCAATGACCTCTTTTCTTTTTCTTTTGGCAACATGTAACTTCCCTCTTGTCCCCAAATCCTCCAACTCTAATGAAAAATAAAGAGAAAAGTACACATCAACACAAAATGTAGCCAGCAAACCTCGGTTTCGATTTGCGATAAACAGGGCCCACTAATTCATATATAATGATCCCTGGGGGCCTCATTTTGACTTAGCTTTAAAATGTAATATTATCTGTTCTCTTGCATTTTCATTTATTTTGTTAAATATTTCCCAAATACATTTTAATCTGATTCAGCAGCACTGAGGAATGTTGTGGGCTGTGGCTGGCTACCTCTACTCTAGAGTCACAGTTGATCAGTACATTGAGCAGTTCCTAAGTCTTTCTAAGTTTTTTTTCTTTGTAATGTTGTATAAATTGTTCCCCTGGTCCTGATCACTTGACTCTGCATCAGTTCATAAATCTCTTCCAAATTTCTCTGAAACCATTTCTTTCATCGTTTCTTATGGTGCAATATATTCACTATTGTAATTTTTCTTTTCTTTTTCTTTTTTTTTTTGGCTAGGCAATGGGGTTAAGTGACTTGCCCAGGGTCACACAGTTAGTCAGTGTTATGTGTCTGAGGCTGGATTTGAACTCAGGTATTCCTGAATCCAGGGCCGGTGCTCTATCCACTGCGCCACCTAGCTGCCTCTACTATCATAATTTTTCTACCATGCCTGACTTTACAAGCACACCCCATTTTGACCTTTTTGAAGTTTGTGAGATATCTCTTTTTGAAATTCCCTCATCTGTAAAACAGGAGAAAGGCAGGGAGGAGGGTAGCATGGTAGCATTAAGCTATGGCCTCTTGCAGCAGTCAATCCTAAAATGAATCCCAAGAAAAATTGATGGGATTAAGCAGAGTAAAAACTCCTCCTAGTCACTCTTTTCTACTGCCCTCCTCTAGTCCATACCCAGGTGCCTTTCTCTGTCTTCTATTTCTTTCTTTCATTCTTCTCTATCTGTAATATCCTCTCATCTTTACTCCTCTCCATATAAAGTCTTTCACCCTAAGCCTCATTTTTAATCAGGAGTTCTTAAACTGGGGTCCCAGAAAATCTTTTGAAAATACTTTGAGAGAGCAGCTAGGTGGCCCAGTGGATAGAGTACTGGCCTTGGAGTCAGGAAGACCTGAGTTCAAATGTGGCTTCAGACACATAACACTTACTAGCTGCATGACTCTGGGCAAGTCACTTAACCCCAATTGCTTCACCAAAAAATCCATATATATATACATATATATGTATATAACTGATAACAGTGGGCCTGGATTCAGGAAGACTCATATTCGTGAATTGAAGCCTAGCTTCAGACACTAGCTGTATACTTGTTTCCTCATCTATAAAATGAGCTGGAGGAGAAAATGGCAAACCACCCCAGTATCTCTGCCAAGAAAACACCAAATGAGGGCACGGAAAGTTGGAAACTACTGAACAACAACCTTTATCTACTGGGTTGCCTTTCCCCACCTCTCTTTCTCTTTTCCCAGCCCCTCCTTCTTCCAGAACCCCATTCATTCCTCCTTGCTTCTTTCCTACCAGGCCCCTCGTATCTTCTAGGTTTTACCAACCTGTGCCTCTCTTTCCTCAGACTTCTCATGCCCATGGGTCAGGCTAGGGTGCTCTTATGGACCGCTGACAACACTAATTTAATTACCCTTCATTGCTGAGCTCAGCACATGGATCAGGACACTTGGGTTTTCAAATCCCCAAAGCTTTGAACATAGAAAACATTCAAATTAATAAGTTTTTGGGGTGATTTTTTTTTTGGAGGGCAGTCAAGGTTAAGTGACTTGCCCAGAGAAGTGTCTGAGGCTGAATTTGAACTCAGGTCCTCCTGACTCCAGACCCAGTGCTCTATCCACTGTGCCACTAGCTGCCCTTCAAACTACTAACTTTATAGATATTGAATTGAGGTTGGTGGGAAGGCAGGGCCTTGAACATGATAGGCAGCCCGGGAGCTTGTGTTATTGTTGTTGTTAACCTCATCTTGGCCCACTGGGTGAGAAGAGCTCTGCTGATTCTAGTGTTTTGCGTTTAAATAAGAGGGAGCAGAAAAAGGAGACTCCGGAGACCGAGGCAACATCCACACTTTATTACAGGAAGTCAGCTGAGAAGGAAGGTGGACTGGTGGCACTGATCTGGGAAGGGAGTGCCTGGGGGAGAGGGGGTAGGGAGGGGCTGCAGAGAAGGGAGGCTAAGAAGCCTGGGAGCAGTAGGGTCTAGGGAGGACTAGAAGGCTGGCATTGGATAGGACTAGACTTCATTTCTTTTACAATTCTAAGATTCTATTGGAAGATTGGGGTAGATAGGGGAAGGATCTGGGGATGGGGGTTGGGGATTTAGTAGATTGTAAACTCCTTAGAGTTTATCTAAACTTTCCATCTCCTCCACCCTTTAGTTCCGGGCTTGGTTTGCTTTTGACCTTAGTGAATGAGAGACCAGTTGAAAGGAGGAGAGTGGGGGAGGGGGAGAGAGATCCTGGGAGAAAAGTCGATGTGAGGGGATGAGGTTGAAGCAGAGCCAAGTGCAAGGGAAATGAGGAAGGGTTGGGAGGGAGGACTGAAGCCCTGGGAGTAGAATCCCAAGTCCCCCAGGAAGTGAGTGCTGCCCCATCCCAATCTCCAGGGAGCACCAGTCTCACTCAGAGCTTTCATTTTCGAGCACCGAGGGCCAGAGCAACAATGAAGCCGACCACCAGCAGGAACATGGCAACGGACAGCAGTACTGTGATGACTATCATGCCCCCAGTTCTTGCCATTCCCACCTTCAAGGTCTCCACTTTTCTGCCTGTCAAGGTCAAATGAGATAATGTGTATAAACTGTTGCAAACCTGAACTCAATAAATATTCCTTTGTGGGATGATGAGAGATTTAGAGGCTGAAGTGGAGGGGGTTGGGTGAGGATTTCCCCTGCTTGAAGCTCTCTGTCCAGGCCCAAGACCTGTGAGGTGAGTCTGGGGCTGAACACCTGGGAGTTCGGTTTGGGAGAGGTTACTCACGAGGTAATGTAGTCATCCGGACTCTGTTACTGTATTCTACAGCATTTCCTTTCTCCACAGAGTAGGAGACACTTGGGAGGGAAAGGGGAATTTGAGGAGGAAGGAACTCAGTAAGCAGCAGAGGTATTGGAGGAGGGGGATATAGGTCCATGCTGTTCCTCCTATACTTCTCTCTCCTCAAAGATCCCCTCTCTGATCCACGACCAGTCTCTGGACTCTCCTCCCATCATAACCTTTCCAAACGTGCCCTCCTCCCTCCACAGCATGCACCTTCCCCAAGAGGTATCCATCCTGCCCACTTCCTACAGAAATACACTACTCCTCTTTCCACCCCTCACTTTCCCCTACTGGTGCCCCTCCCAGATAGGGTACCTACAAGTAGCTGGTGCCAGGTACCAGGTTGGTGACTTGGTAGGCACTGAGTTGGGTGACGGTGAAGCGGCCACTGCTGTATACCACGCTCACCAGGTCCCTTCGCCCTCGGCAGGAGGTTACTGTGAAGTTATGTGTTATTCCTGGGCAGGAGGAAGGGATAAGAGGGGTGGAATCAAGTTGTGTGGTGGGGTGGGGGTAAGATACTCCTGGGGAAAGGATTGGAACAAAGGAAGGGAAGGGGGTACCCAGGATAAGGATGACAAGGAAAGGCTCTGGAGGTTAGGATGAGATATTCAGGGGAAGGAGGGACCCAAACCTTTGGTTTCATTAACTCTTCTCTGACGGTCAGAGAGGCTTTGCCCCCTGTGAGGTGGCAAGGGGGTAAGGCAACTAGAAGGCTCTCTGCCAGGGCTGGGGACAGTAGGCCAGAGAGGCTGGAGATGTTGAAATCTGTAGGAAGGCAGAGGAGGGAAGGCTTGATGGAGAAACTGAGACCTTAGGAATAACCCCAACAAAAGACCAAACTACATTACACAGTCCAGGCCTTGTACTCCAAACCTCCCTTGACTACCCTTCAAAGGAACCAAGGGTCTGGCTTCCACCCTTGACACTAGCATCCTTTCACAGAACTGTGATGGACAGAGAGAGCCCTTGGAGACAGAGAGAGTCCAGTCAATGCCCAGCTGACCACCAGGTGGCAGACTTGGGCCACTTTGCCAGGGTAGACAGACTGAGAAGGCACAGCAGGTATTGGGATTTAACCCTAGGGATACAGAACATGACGTCTAGAACTGAATTTTGGACCTGCCAGCTCTAGAGCCTCCCTGTTCCTCCCATCCTCCCCTTCTAGTTTGAAAAGGACTCTGAGGGTGCCCACTATCATTGGACAAGTACCTCAATGCCCAGCACCCTCATATTCTCTCTACTTCCTATCCTCCCCACCAATGCCAGCACAACTTCAGAGCATCTCTGGAAACAAGGTACCTCCAGCCCCACCCTACATGAGATGAAGAGCCATCTCGCCCCAGCCAGGTACCCCGATTCCCACCCCCTCCAACCCAAATTGGGGCAAGGTGAACGAGGACCTGCAGCCCCGAGATACAGCAGCACCAGTAGAAGCAGGGTGGGCATCAGAAATGACATGATGAAGGGGCTGGGATCTGGCAGTCTATGAAGGTTTGTCCCCGAGGCATGTGCTGCCCAGGCCTTGGGGTGGCTGATTTTGTAGTGATGGGAGGGGCCAGAGGGGGAATCTTGCCTAACCTGCCCTCTCTGCCCCAAGAGCCTGCAGGGGCCCCGAACTGGTTTTTCTGGAAGAGGAACAGGCCCTGGGGTCCTGGAAGGAGGGTGGGTGGGACTCCCTACGCTCCTGGCAATGATTTACAAAGTCTCAGGGTTGGAATGGACCTCAAAGTTCATGTAATCCAACCTTTCTCTGGTTACCTGGCCTCCAGGGTCATGAAGACCTCTCTCTGGGGATGTCCACTGCCCTTTTCCACTACCTCTTGTGGGCTCAACTGTGGGGTAGATGACTGCTAAGCAGCTAGGTGGTATAGTGGATTTAGAGCCAGGAAGAACTGAGTTTGATTGAATCCTGACCCATTTACTTACCAGAATGTATGACCCTGGTTAAGTCACTTTACCTTACTCAGCCTCAGTTTCTTCATCTGTAAAAGGATAATAACAATTCATAGGGATTTGAATATTAAAGGAGACAGTGTATGTAAAGTACTTTGCAATCCTTGAAGTTCTACATAAATGCTAGCTATTACTATTATTCAAGCTGGTAGTGAGGATGGATTAATTGATTCCTGAAGGGTACAACCATGTTTTTTTCCCTCCCCCCTTAGGGGGAGTCTGACTTCCCCCTAAGCCCAGTCTCACATGTGTGGGGACTGTAGAAGTTCCTGCCTATGAAATCAGGCACTTCTATGTGTCTCCTCAGGACCTGGCATATTCATGCGGATTTGGGTCCCTGGGGCTGTGGGTGTTTTTATGTGCCCAGGACACCAGGCATGTTGGGGCAAGCTCCAGTGTTCTCAGGTGCCTCAGTACTGTTAAACTCAGGGAGATAGGGACAGGGTTCCCTGGGGACCCCTGAGATGAGCAAAAAGAATCTGGGCTGGGGCACAGTAGGCAGAAAAGCGAGACAAAGAAACTAGAGGAGAAGCCATGTGTGCCCAGCTGAAGCGGCACATCCAGGTCTGTGCCATCCCCTGGAATGGAGCTTTCTCTGAGAGGCAGACTGACTCTGACTCTGGGTGCTTTATTCGCTCTTTCTTCCATGGCTCCCCCCATACCCCCCTCCTTCCCACCACCCCTTAAGGATGCAAGGAGAAGGTGGCTAGGTTGGGCTGTTCAAACTGCCTATGGCTTCTGAGCTGAAAGGAAAGGGAAGGAAGAGGGGCCAGGAAGGCAGAGTGACTCTAGGCTCAGGGTGTGGTGAAGCTGCCCTCTGGAGCAGCCTGAGAGATGGAAGGAAAGCCTGTTCTGTACATTCAGTTATTTTTAAAAGTTGATTTGCATATGGAAGGGAGAAAGACCCCATAGGAGGGGGAAGCCATTCTGTCCCACCTTCACCTCCATTCTTTGCTCAGTTTCAGGACTGAGGCGAAGGAGCATTGGTTTAAAACTTGGCTCAGGAAGCCCCTCCTGGAGACCTTAACTGTGAGAGATGCCACAGGAGATCCCCAGACAGAGATCCCATCCACATGTACCCTCCTTTCAACAGAGGGGTGGGGGATGACCCATTCCCCTTCATTACCTACCCCTCACCCCAGCTTCTCCACTCACGGACTCCCTGGAATCTTTCCACAGTAATGCTACTCTCGGTCAAGATGGTGTCTGTCCAGTGACAATGTAACAGTAGGACAAGTCTCTGGGTTAGGGGGAGGGGAAAAGGAAACAGAAAAATGGAACTAGCAGATAAAGTAGAAAGAAGTCTCAGACTCAGAGATCGAATGAGAGCTTAGAGCTTGGTATTCTTTAGAATGCAGAACTTTGTAGTAAGAAAGAATTAGGTTCAAACCTGCTTTCTGACACTTCCTCTGACCCCCACGGTGACAATTTTTCTGAGTGCCAGTTCACCATGTATAAAATGGGGGTCGAAATAATGGTAGTGCCCACTTTACTGGGTTGTTATGGAGCTCAGAGGGGATAATGGAAAGTGCTTTGAAAGCTTTAAAGTAAGCCCGGGTGCTTGGGTTGTTGGCCCCAGCTTTACTCTCTGCCCTCTCTGGCTTGGATTTCTGTGTTAGAGAGTGGGGATCTATCGTCTCTTACCGGGTTTGGGGGAGGGAGGCTCCCTAGGTGCCCAGGTGCACACATCGAGATGCAGCAGTCTCTAGGTATGGCAGCCAAGTCAGACGCCACTGGTTCCTTTGACTCTGGCAGTAGAGATAGGGACGCTTTCAGCAAAACTCTAAATTGTTTTTGTAGCCTTTTACCTGCTTGTGTGCTCTTTGGTACCATTTCAGGCCTTCCTCCCCTCCCCCAAAGGAACTAGTAGGGTCATACACATGTTATATAGCGTTTGAGAGGCAGTATAGTGTGGTATAAAAAAAGACCTGGATTTATTTTGTTTATTTTTTTCAGTGGGATGAAGGAGAGAGGGAGAGAAAATACTTTTTTGTTCATTGAAATAAAATTTAAGAAATTGTTTGAAACACTTCAGTTTGGAGCCAGAGGGCTTGTATTTGAAGCCTGGCTCTCTTACTTTACCTGTGTGACCTAGAGCAAAGTTCCTCCACCTCTCAAGGCCTTTTTTTTTTTCCTTCATCTGTAAAATGGGGTGGGCAGAGAAAGAGTTGGACTGAATGACCTCTTAGGTCCCTTCCAGCTCCTAATCACCGAGTTGGTGAGGAGGGAAAGGACAGGGTTCAGCCTTGCTCGGGTAGCAGTTTGCTTCTTTTTTTTTTTTGCTTTCGTTTGGGGGAGGGGGGTGAAGCAATTGGGGTTAAGTGACTTGCCCAAGGTCACACAGCTAGTAAGTGTTAAGTGTCTGCGGCTGGGTTTGAACTCAGGTCCTCCTGACTCCAAGGCCAGAGCTCTATTCACTGCACCACCTCGCTACCCCTACCCAGGGAGCAGTTGAACAGGGATACTTGAACCATCCTTTTGTCTTGAGAATCAAGGTCCATTATGTAAGGTAGGGGAGTGTAGGAATGGTTGTATTGCCCACAGAACTGAAAGAGGGGCATGGTAAGGCATTAAGTCCATCCTGTGAAGTTGAGGTCTAGGGTTCTGTAGTGGCAATGAGAGGAGGCTTAAGGGGCTGGACGTAGATGAGAAGGCTGGATTGTTATGAATCCCTCCCCTTACCTTTTCTTTAAATGTTCTGAACCTCTCCTTTTCCTCTAGGTCCCATTTTGAATATATGCATACCCTCATGTAGTTGGTGAAGTAGGTAGAGCCCTGAGCTTGGAATCAGGAAGACCCAAGTTCAAACCCAGCCTCAGATACTTAGTAGCTACGTGATGCTAGGCAAGTCACTTAACTGATATTTGCCTCAGTTCCCCTGTCTGTAAAATGGGGATAATAATAGCACCTGTCTTGAAGGCTTGTTGTGAGAATTAAATAACACAATATTTGTAAAGTGCTTGATGCTGAGTAGGCACTTAAAAACGCTTATTTCTAAAAAAAAAAGCTTATTTCTCTCTCTCCCTCCTTTCCTCCTTTCTTTCTCCCTACCTCCTTTCTTCCCTCCCTCCCTTTCTTCCTCCTCCCTCCCTTCCTTTCTCTCTCTCTTCCTCCTTTCCTCCTTCCTTCTTCCCTTCTTCCCTCCCTCCCTCCCTCCTTCCCTTCCTCCTTCCTTATTATGGTATCCTGTACATGAGACATACCCAAGACCTCAATTACCTGCCAGTCTGGCAAAACCTGGGGCCAGAGTGACTGTCAACTCAGGGTTCTTATGTACTGAGAAAGGGGAGAAGGACCCTGGGAGCTCAATGTGACCCCCACAGTGACAATTGCTATCTACGGTGAGTTCAGTATGCCCTACCCCCACACAAGGGGATCCTGAAACAGCGACTAGTTGCTGTCTGGTGACCCTGAGATGCAGTAGAAACCCATAATAACCAATGCACAGAGTGGCTATTATTTACTTCTTGAACCATGCATTCAGTCTCCCTCTTAGAAGCCATGCCTAAAATGTACTCCTAGTCTTAAGTGACATAAAATATGTGAAGCGCCTAGGAAGCCTTAAAGTACCATATACATGCTACCTGTTCTACTATCTCTGTCTCTTAGGAGCCTTATCAACTTCTTTCTCAGGTACAGCTAGCTCCCCCTCTGATACCTTCCCTGATGGTGCTTTCTTCATCCTCAAATTACCTTGTACTGTATTTATCTCTATTCATATTGCATCTCCCTATATACAATGTACAAGTCATATAAGTTTGTTTCTTTTTTCCCCTTAATTTCCCCTGCCTAGCATAGTTGGTGGTGTTTAACATTTTTTTTTAAAATTTTTGACTAGGCAATGGGGTTAAGTGACTTGCCCAGGGTCACATAGCTAGTAAGTGTCAAGTGTCTGAAGACAGATTTGAACTCAGGTCCTACTGACTCCAGGGCTGGTGCTTTATCCACTGGGTCAGCTAGCAGCTCTTTGGTGTTTCGCATTTTAACCAATGACTTAGATAAAGAAGTAGATGATGTACTTATTAAGTTTATAGAGAACTCAAAGCTGGGAAAAATCACTACTATGTTCAATGATAGAGTCAGAATCTAAAAAGATGTGGACAGGCTGGAACCTGGAACCAAATCTAAAGAGATGGAATTTAATAAGGATAACTATAAAGTCTTATACTTGGGCTCAAAAAATCAGCTTCAGTAGTACAAGATGGAGAAACATGATTAAATAGCAATTTGCCTGAGAATTAACGTTATCTGGCCATTATATAGATAGCACTTTAAGGTTTGTAAAGCACTTTTATATAGATGATCTCATTTGTTTCTTACAACAGATATGGTTATATACATTTTATAGATGGAAAAACTGAGGCTCAGAGATGTTAAGTGATTCATCCATGGTCATACAACCATTAAATAAAGTGGGATTTGGACCTAGGCCTTCTTGAATCCAAGTCCATCATTCTAGCCCATTGTATTTTGATCCTTTTGGGGGTTTTGGTAGTCTGTAAACTGAATATGAATATGATACAGAAGCTTAATTCAATATTTTTCCCCTTTTAAAAATATTTATTTTTTACAAGTATTTAT